GTCCAGTGCCCTTAAATACCATGCAACCTGCTGGCCTGCCTCAAGATATTTTTAATGCCACCTATGTGATATGAAGGACTTGTCAAAATTATGATTGACATATTCATTTTACACAACTTAGTGTTTTTATTGTAAAATAATTATCTGAGTATAATGTTTGTTTTAATGTGAAATATTTCTTTTCAGTAAAGTTTTTTTTTTTTTCAAGTAAATTACCCTCAAAGAAATAATTTCATTTATTAGAAATTATGTATCTTGGGACCAGCAGTTGGTGTAATGGCTACATTGCTGGACTCCCGTGTAGTCGACTGTGGTTCAAATCCTGGACCTGGTGGCTTAAACTCACGCTGGGCGCATGTGTGTGAGTGCCCAAGATCCTGAGAGGAGAAGGGATTGTGGCGTGGCCATCCCCCCTGGGGGGTGATTTCTCGCTTTCTCTCTCTGTCTCTCTGGCAAGCGTATATGCCCAATAGCAAAAACCTCTCAAAAAAATCATGTATCTTAAGAGTTCGCTTACAGGGGCCGGCAAGTGGCATGGTGGTTAAGGGCGCTGGACTCCCACATGGCTGACTGCAGTTCGAGTCTCGGACCTGGTGCTTTATCACTTTCTCTCTCTCGCGCGTGCGCTCTGTACCTCTGGTCAAAATTAAAATAAATAAGTAAATAAATAAAGTTAAATAAAATAATTCTTTAAAAAGAAAAAGAGTTTGCTTACAGTAATGCCATTGATTTAAAAATTATATCACTCAAAAAGTGCTTGGATCCAGGAGGCTGAAACAGGAGACCGTGACACAGCAAGACACCCTATCTTTAAAAAAAAAGCGGGGCGGAGTGGGGTAGATAGATGGCAGAATGGCTCCATCACTGGAGTCCCATGGAGCCAACCGTGGTTTAAGTACCAGATCCGGTGGCTTAAACCTCACACTAGATGTGTGTATGTGTGTGCAGGTATGCCCAAGATCCCGGGGGATTGTGGAGTGGCCATCCCCACTGGGCAGTGATGTCTCTCTCTCTCTGTCTCTCCGGTGAGTGCACACACCCTATAGCAAAAATCTCTCTCTCAAAAAAAAAAAAAAAAAGTCCATTGCGCAATGTTAGGTAGCCAGTGTGGTATATTCTGTTTCTGTGATGTTTTGTCCCCTTTTTTGTTGTTGTTTCGATATGTCAGCTTTATGCTGCTTTATCTAGACAGGTTTTGATACGCATATTCCTTTAAACATTCTCTTTGAACTTTGTCAAACATAAAATGAACTTTGAGTAGTAAACACCTAATAAAATAAAGCACTTTCCTCTGTTATTGTGGTAATAGAAGCATAAAATTCAAATTTAAAGATTTAATTTAGCTTTTTATATTTTTACTCCTGCTTTAAAAGATTATTGTTCATACTAAAGATGTTGTAATTATTGATTGAAAATAACTTACCTACGCACTTAGGAAATTTAGGACCCGGTGATCTAGAGAAACAATTTTGAGTTTCAAATTCTTATTTTAGAGTTGAAACGTCGTTTTACATAGTGATTTGAAAAACTCCTATTAAATGCTCACTTTTATTTCCCATTTCGGCTCATTTTTAAGCAGTATAACCATTTTTTTCTGTTTGTACATCTTCTCTAAAATAATATATTTTATTCTAGGAGCTTTTTTTTTTCTTTGTATAGTACATATTCTTATACTGAAAGAGAGAGACAGAGAAAGACAGGGAAAAGTGATAAGTCACCCTCTTGTGACCATGCCACAATCAGTACCTTCTCCATTCTCCTCTCTGGATTTTGGGCACTCACAGAAACTTATCAGGTCCAGGACTCAAATCATGGAGTCAGCCGCATAGTGTCCAGCCCCCTTTACCTTCACCCCACCTGCTGGCCCTTCTGTGAACATTTTTGAAACGTGTAGGAACCAGCAGGTGGTGTTATGGTTACATCACTGTTCTCCCACATGGCCAACTGTGGTTCGAGTCCCAGATCCAGAGGCTTGCAACTCAGGCCAGGCATGCGTACATGCATGCCGAAATCCCGAGAGCAGAAGGGATTATGGTATAGCCATTCCCCCAGGGGAGCGTGACATCTCCCTTTCTCTCTCTGTCTCTCCAGTGAGCACATGGGCCCTGTGACAAAAATCTCAAAAAATTTTTTTTCATACACATTTTACTAGATGGCATGTGTGTTCATTAGTGTAAGAAAGAGTGGGAGAGGAGAAAGTGCCCCCCATGAGGCATGGACACAGCACAGTGCGACCTCCCCTTGGGATTTTGCACGTGTGCCTGGCATGTTTCTCAAGCAGCTGGGTCTGGGACTTGAACTGTAGAATTACCCGTGTAGGATCAGGCTGCTTACCACTCGACCAGAGAGCTATCCCTTAACTATTTTTCATGTGATTTTTTCTCTGATAATGAGAAACACAGTTCTGCAGATGTAGCACTGCTGTTATTTCGTTGGCTTAGGACTTTCTGAGTTACGGTGTGAGAAACGGTGTATCTCAGGTGCTAGCATACACCAGAGCCACAGGTTTCCAAGTAGTGCTAATGCTACTTCTTGGAGGGACAGCACTTTGTAAGATTCACTGACTTAGACTTCATTAGTGGGGGCCAGCAGGTGGTGTGATGGCTAAGGCAGGTAGACTCCCACATGGCTGACTGCAGTTTGAGTCCTGGACCTGGCAAAGATGTCATTGGTGTAATAAGTTTTCTCCTAAGTAGCTAGGATAATACTGTTTGTACATTGTCCTTAGGAAAATTGAGAAAAGAATTATTGAATAATATCAATCAGGAAGCCAGGTGACAAAGTGCTATTGGCGAAATAAATGTTGTTTTTCTTTCTTTCTTTCTTTCTTTTTTTTTGGGGGGGGGGATAGGTTTTCGCTATAGGCTGTGTGCGTTCACCAGACAGACAGAGAGAGATAGAAAGCGAGAAATCACCCCCCAGGGGGGATGGTCATGCCGCAATCCCTTCTCCATTCTCCTCTCGGGATCTTGGGCACGTACGCACACGCGCCCAGCATGAGTTTTAAGCCACTGGGTCTGAGACGCGAACCGCGGTCGACTACGTGGGAGTCCAGCGACATAGCCATTACGCTAACTGCTGGTTCCCAATAATTTTATTTGTCATTATCATTATTATTATTTTCATTGTTATAAGTTACATGAGGTCACTGAAGAGAGACAGAGATAGAGAGGGAAAGTGAGAAAATGAGCTGCCAGGTCCAGGACTTGAACCATGGTCAGCCATGTGGGAGTCCAGTGACTTAACCACCATGCCACCTGCTGACCCTGGTGAAAGAAATTATTAATAGAAATGCAAAGAAATCTTGCCATCGGTCTATAACTTTCTCTAATTCTTTTTCCTTTTCCCATCCCATTGGGATTTGGAACACACCTCATACATGATCGGTGTGTTTTTTCAAAGCCTTTGAAGTGAGATGGGCCATGTGGGATCTGGCTTCTTATTCACAAGGCTTCCCCATAGTGCTACATGGCTGCCCCAATATTTGGTTTATAAAGATAAATATTTCCTTTATATGTATTTAAAAGTGGGATTTAAATGATGTATTTAAGGCAAGAAAAAGAAACTTGCCCTATTTCATAGTGTTATTTCAGACTTTTTGAAAGTAAAGTACATTTGTTTAATACTATCTTACTTGTTTTTTTGGGTACTTAGAAAAGTCATGACTTTTTTTTTATCATTATTATTACTGTGTTTTAATTTGACCAGAGAGAGAGAGAGCAGACCCCCCCAGGTATGGGACTCAACCTACTGTTCGCCATGTGGGAATCCGGCGCTTTAACCGCCACACCACCTGCTGGCCCCAGCCACGAAATGTTTTTCTGTGCAAAAATGTGTCATTAGTTTTCCAATGACCCTATAGAGTGGTGTTGAAAAAAAACTTCAAAGGCTTTATTTTATACTAAGTTTATTTCTTTATATCTAGATAAATTAATAGTAAGTGTGGCTAAGGCTAGGAAGAAGAATGTGGGCACCAATAAGAAAACAAGCAAAGCCCGTTCAGGAAGGGATGCCTAGAAGTGTCTCAAGAAATAGAAAGGAGGCCACCCTGGCAGCCGAGGGGTGGAGGGAGCCATAGCCCACAGGGCCAGTTATGGCCGAGATCTTGGCCCCAGAAGCCCAAGGGACACAGTAGGCACGTGTCTGAAATTCCATCAGAACGGCAAACAGAGAAAAAGATTGCAGCGTGAACCAAGCCCCTTTGGGAGATGCTTTCTCCCTTTCTCAGGCTAGTGCACGGACCTTCTAGCAATGAAATAGAAAGCACGGCTTGGTTGTCAGCTGTAGCACCAATTGCACACTGCCGCTCAGTAGGTTGAGACCTACTTGAAGGCCCAGGTTTGGTCCCCAAACTACCCTCAAGAGCCAGGCATGGTGTCATGTGCCTGTAGGCCCCGCCACTCAGGAGGCTGAGGAAGGAAGGAAAGGAATGTAGAGTGAATAACATACGGAGACTTTTTCTGCAAGAATGGGCATTGTGGTGCACCCCGTGTTCCTAGCTACACAACAGTCTGAGACAGGAGGGGAGTAAAGAAGGCTCGGGCCAGCTGGTGGCATGTTGGTTGGGCATCTGGTTACCGCATGACCGACTTGAGGTTTAAACCCTGAACCTAGCTGCTTGAGAAACACTTGGGGTGTGTATGCGTGTGTGTGTGTGTGTGTGTGTGTGTGTGTGTGTGCACGTGCCCCAAATTCCAAGAATGGAGAAGAAGGTATTGAGGTGTGGCCACCCTTGTGGGGGTTGCTTTCTTACTCTCCTTCCACCCCCATCTCTTACCAGCAAGTATACACACCCTATAGCAAAAGTACAAAGAAAATAGGAAGAAATAGACAAAGCCAAGAAGGAAGAAATGTAATAGGCAGACATACAGTTACAGATGAATTTAACAACTGTATGATTGGACAAAATTCTGAACTCTACCCTCTGGTTCAGAGAACATTCATTTTGTTGTTGCCACGCGGAGCTCGCTTAACTGGGACATTTTCCATTTGGATTTCAGGGCAGCAGCGATGACTCTCCGCACGGTGTTACTGTCATTGCAAGCGCTATTGGCAGCTGCAGAGCCAGACGACCCACAGGACGCGGTAGTGGCAAATCAGGTACGATGCCTACGTGCGGGAAGCACTCCTCGCACCTGTGTGCGGTCGCTGCTAGTTTATGATGGTGACGTGTAGGCGTGGAATTTGAAAATACTGCCTTTTCTGTGGCAAGGTTATTCTGTTAGATGTAATAGTGAAAACTTAATTTATCAATTGTTAAGTTCGAGGTGTCATAAGGTCTATGGTAGGTGCTGTTTTTAACAGATGAAAATGTTCAGGTGCTCAAAGTCTAAAGAATCGCTCAGCGAACACTTAGATACCTGCCACCTCGGTCCTCTGGTTAACATTTACTGCACGCACTTTATGTGTGTCCCTCCTGCTGACCGTGACCCCCACCCTGGCTGTCATCCCGATCTCCTCCTACTATGGTACTGGAGTTACCAGTGACCTTGTAATTTGCTGAGTGGAATGGTTTTCATTTCCAATTTTTAATCACTCTGAGATGAGCAATGAAAAGCAGACTGGTTGATTTTTCTTAAGTGCCAGTTGATTGGAACACAGCCACAGCCACATCTTGACGTCGCCTTTCTGCTACCGTGGCAAAGTTGGAGAGAGTGTGGTCTGAGAGCCTCAAATTATTAGTACCTGGCTCTTCAAGGAGGAGTTGGGCAGCCCCTACCCCAAACCATTAGGATCAATTCATCATTCTTCTTTATTTATTTTTAAGGAATTATTTATTTATTCATGATTTTATTTCAATTTGACTAGAGAAAGACACACACAGAAGGAAAGTGAGAAAGCTAGTCTGGGACTCGAAGTGCGGTCAGCCATGTGGGAATTAATGTCCAGCGCCTTAACCACCACACCACCTGCTAGTCCAGCATTCTTTATTTAAACTGGACATTTTTCTTCACTTCTGAAATACTGTTGTTCTCCTCCTGTCTTCATAGTTGTTCCTTCTCAGCTCCTACATTTATTTCTCTTCTGCCCCCTCCCCTTTCAATGTGGTCCCTTGCTTCTCACTGTGCACACTTGGCTCAGGTGATCATGTCTGCATTGATGCTGCGCCTGTACACCGCCAAATGCTGAGGCCCGATCTGTGCTCTGAACACAAGAGCCTGTGTCAGATCAGCCCTGTATGAATGCTCTGGATGCCTCAGCACATCGCGAAGCTGAATGCAGAATCCTGCCTTGCAGACTTGTCCAGTATTCCGTTTCCATCACCAGTTTAAATATCAAAGTCACAGGGCCACCAGGTAATGGTTGGTGCTGGACTCCCACGTGGTCAACCACGGTTTGAGTCCTGGACCCAGGCAACTTTGACACTAAGGCTGGGTGTGTATGTGTGCATGCTCAAAAACCCAAGAGGAGAACTGAGGGGACAGAATTGTGGTGTGGCCATTCCCCGAGAGGGTGATTTTTCACTTTCTGGCGAGCACACGCACCTTATAGGAAAAATCTCTCCAAATAAATAAAGGTCCAAGTCAAAGCCTTTAAGTTTAGTTTTCCTTTCTCCTTTCTCCCATTGGTTCCATCCCAGTATCTCTGACACTCGGCTCACCTCCTCTGGGTGCCTATGTACATCTTTTCTTTTTTCTTGTTGCCACTGCTGATCTCTTTCTCAACCTTATCCTTCCTTCATTCTCAACATTGATAGCAATTAGCTTGATAAAGCGCAAACCGTACTTTAGCTTACAGCTAAAAAATGTGTCAGTAGACCCACTACCACCTATTTGAGTTCACACTCTCTAGTTTGCACGTTCTCCATGATTTGAACTGTCTGCAAATTTAGCTCCACCTCCTGTCTTCTTACTGTTCTTTTAATTTATTCATTCACTTATTTTAATTTGACCAGAGAGAGTGAGAGAAAGAAAGAAAGGAAGAAATCCACCAGGCCTGGGTCTCAAACTGTGGTCAGGCACGTGAGAGTGTCCAGCGCCTTAGCCACCACACCACCTGCTGGTCCCCTTCTTACTGTTCTTATTGTTCTTGAAATGTCTGCATTTTCAAAGTTAGTTACTTTCATGCGTCTATTTTCATGTATCATTTCATCCAATTTGCCATGTTTCCTTTGCCTCAGAAAACTTCCTCTTAGCAACTTTTTTTTTTTCTTTTTTTTTCCGCCATAAAGTATGCACTTCCAGAGAGCTGGAAAGTGAGAATTCACCCCTGGAGGGGATGTCCGTGCCACAGTCCCTTCTCCATTCTCTTTTCAGGATTTTGGGCATGCACGCACAGCACAATTTTCTAGCTGCCAGGGCCAAGACTTGATTGATTGATTGTTTTTGAGAGGTTTTTGCTATAGGGCGTGGGTGCTGGCCAGAGAGACAGAAAGTGAGAAATCACCCCCCAGGGGAGATGGCCACACTGCAATCCCTTCTCCTCCATTCTCCTCTCGGGACCTTGGGCATGCACGCACATGCACATGTGCCTGGCGTGAGTTTTAAGCCACCGGGTCCAGGACTTAAACCGTGGTCAACTACATGGTAGTTCAGCGACATAGGCATTACTCTAACTGCTGGTCCTTCCTTTTAAGATTTTAATTTATGTATTATTCAGTAGGTTTTTTTGGTAACTTTTTTCTTCCATTCCCTCCTTTTCTATGTACATGTCTTTGTTGATATAGTTAATCATTGATCTCAGACTGCTTGAAAT